CGATTTATGATCTCTCTCTTGGCGAGATTCAATCCAGAGCTGATTACATTCAACAAGAGTTGGAGGATATTGAAAGACATCGAAGGTTGAACCCAGAAAATGGATTTGCACAGACAAATGAGCACTTGTGCTATTTACAAGACGAACTCCAGTTTCTGGCAAATATTTTCAAAAAATTTCAGAGATGTCACATTCACAAACCACATCTGACCATCCTATATGAAGACAACGAGGTATTTACAGATTTTCATATGAACGATGAGGTTGAACACCTTGAGGGAATTATTCATCCCAGTTCTGTAGATACTTTTGCGTGTGATGAGAGTGGGATGAAGATGATGGTAGAGGAACTTGACGAACAAAATCCTATCCACATTGCTACTCCGGATTTGAGTTTGAGCAAGGAGATGATTATCAAATTTGAGGTAGAGCTTACTCCAAAGCTCGAATATCTTGTATACGAGTTTGAGAGATCGGTAGGCAAGCAACCCATTCTAGTCTCTTACCGACTGATTTCCAAAGCAAACGAGAAGTTCCATGGGATGGGATGGGCACTACGTGATTGCAATCTAGTCCATGATATGATTGCAAAGTATGTATCAAGACTGACGGATGGATGCGCAATCTACAAGGTTTTGGATTGGACATAATCCGTCCAAAACGTGTTGAGCCGTCGACAGTAAAACAGGCGCTGAATGGGAGGCAACCCATTATTTATTTCTCGTCATTTTGTTATTTTTTGTTTTCGTCATATTTGCATTTTTTTTTCTTTATTAAAGCTAGATTTTACCCATTTTTCTTGATTTTTGCCGGTATCTCATCCCCAAGGAAAGAAGAGTAAGAAGTCGGGAAGTCTAGGCAATTCCGGCAATTCGCCCTCGGTGCCAAAATTGACGGCACCCCGTGCAACCAAAGAACACTTTCGCAACCGTAGAACACTGATCAATCTGCGGCACGACTGTTCAGGGCGTATTTCTTTCTCATATCTTTTATTCTTCGCATTGAGGGCAATGCATGATTTAAGTTTGGGGGTGAGTTTAGCTTATTTTTCTTTTTGGTCTTTTGCATGCATATCATATAATTTAGTTTTATTTATGTATTTCGATTTCCGTAATTGTGTTATGTTTGTCACATGCATTTCATATAGGATCGAGTGTAAGTTTCATTTCCGGATTCTATTGAAGCAAAGCAATTAATGAATTAGTAGATGGGCTAGTTGATTTTAAAATTGAAATTATGGATAACCGGCTAATTATAGATGTATCTTCAGACTGCGCTTTTGCAACTTGTGTGGATAGCCTTTCGAATCCTTTCCGATTAAGCTTGAGCACACTTTTCTGAGGGGTATAATAGCCTGAGGTTTGGGTGGCGAGTTAGAATTGAATTATGTGTTCACGATTTCCAGTTGTTGGATAAAAGTTCTATCAATGGTCTTTACGTTTTTATTTTATGTTCGATGTTAAAAAAAAAATTAAAAAAAAAAAAAGAGAAAAATAATAATTTGTGGTGTTGTGATTCACGCTCTGATTTCCCCGCCTTTCTGACTCGAGCTTAACCCGTTGGGTGCACCTCGTCGCCTAAGTCTCCCGAGCTGTCGAGCTTGGGGGTTTCTTGGACTAAAGTTCGATAAATGGGTCAGGGAGATAACACAGTGGTGTCGGGCCTTGCACGAGTCACGATTATGCCCGTTTCAAAAAAAATGAAAAAAGGAAAAAGTTGTGATGAAAATCACCAAAAATATTGTAGTTGTCATTTCTTTTATTTGAATAAATAGACCTACTTATGCCCAACTCGAGTTTTTGAATTTCAGAATCAAAACTTGCTTTTCACCCACATTTCTACTCAAAACCCTCGATGATTGTGTTTATTGTTTAATTACGGATTCTTGAGTCTATCTTTCATTTTGGTGTAGAAACAACTAATTGCGTCGGTAGGAAAGTCGAATACCTTAAGCCGTATGCCATTATAAGATTTTAAGTTATCTAGCTCGTTTTATCTTTGGAATTAATTGCAATGCTTTGACCAATCCGGCAACTTTGTGGGTGTGTTGTCTGAAAACCCTCACGAGACACAACTCGTCCTTTGGGGGTACCCAGGGGTTCAACGGCTTGTTCCATACGCTAAATGCAATCGTGTTTCCCTACGTTAGTGACCTAGGTTTAGTTTTTTTTGCTTTCGTCGTTTTTGTTTTTGGGTTGTTGTTGTTTTGTTTTGATTTACTCGGGACGAGTAAAGATCTAAGTTTGAGGGTGTGATAAGTGTTCATTTTGCATGATTTTCACTTATCAATTCTTCGAGTTTTGGTCTTCGTTCGTCCGAGTTTTCGGTTTTATTTGTATATATTATGTTGTTTTTGTTTTATTTATATTTTAGGTAAAGATAAGCTATTTTTGCCGATTCGAGACGATTTTGGAAGCGAAGCCGAGAACCAAACCAAACACGTGCAAAAGTGCATTCTCGCGGATTGTGGCAGTGTTTGGTATTTAAATCATAACTTTCTCAGGCGACCTCCGATTGAGCTGATTCAAGTGGATTTAAAAAGCTAACTTCAAGGGCTACAACTTTTGTGAAATGCACAATTGTCGAATTCGGGCTAAAAAAGGGTCAAAAAAGTGTTTGAAGTTGATGCAGAGGCCAGATCGCGATCCAGAATCACCGGATCGCGATCTGGTGGCAAATTCCAGTAGCAGCAAAAATTTGGGGCAGATCGCGATCCGCACTTCCTGGATCGCGATCTGGGAAGGCGGTGGGCAGTTTTCGAGGTTGCCAGATCGCGATCCAAGAAGCCCAGATCGCGATCTGGGCACAGAAATCGAGACTATATATTTTTCTTTGATTTTTCACTATAAATAGAAGGTCTCTTTTTCATTTTTCAATCTCGACCATCTCTCGACTCTCTCTCGATCTCTTCTTCGGTTTTTCTTCGGTTTTCGCCAGTTCTTCGCAGGAAGCTTCGACGAGGGTTTCGACTCGGGTTTTTCATAAGCTTTTCTTTACGTTTAGTTTATGATTTCTCGTGTTCTTCATTTTGATGCTATGTTTGTAATGAACTGAGCATTTAGGGGAAATAAAACCTTGTATATATTGATTTTGATTTCCAGATCTGTGATCTATTTGTCGTTCTTTGATTCTGTTTATGTTTTCCTGTATTAAATGCTTTCGATTGTTTGGCCAACAGTTGAATTGATTGTAAATGGGAATGAACTCGAGAGAGGATTTCTCGTTTGATTTTAGGAAAACATAGCTCGGGTTGTGGAAACGGAGACGTGATGCACCTCGGGTAGCCCTTAAGGACTTGACCTAAATGCTCTCTTAATATCAGGTTCTGAACGGAGACGTCGGACCTGTGGGTAGACTCTAACTACACTGGAGACGGGGGTTAGGGTACTTTAGTGTCTGGGTTAGCGAACATAGAATTGACAATAGATTTCGATTTGTAGATCTTTATCGATAGTACACTGGTGGATTTTACCCTAGAAGCCATCACACGTCGGAATTCCTCGCGTATACTGGCGGACCATTGTTTTTATTATTTTTGTTTCCTTTTGGCTTCATGTCATCTCCCATCTTTTTCTCCCGTCTAGATAGAGTTTAGGATAGTATAATTACGGTACTTGGTAGATTTAGGAACTTAATTCCCTGTGGATCGATATCTGGAATTCACTATTCTACAAAACGCGATACTGTACACTTGCGGTTTTTCATACGTAGATTTTACGCGTATCAAGTTTTTGCTTCGACAAAAGCTTCAGCATTTTCCCCAGTAGCACGGTCTTTTCCAAATATTTGGCACCAATCTTTACAGAATTTCCACGATTTATATCGCATAGCACGGGAATTGACATCCGTCTACAATTTTATATGTAAAAATAATCAATAATTCATCTCAATGGTAAGCAATTGAAATCGAAAAAATAATAATTCAATATAAATTGTGTATTTTCAATTATTACCTTTATATAATCTTGCCAAACTTGATCGTCTATGACCTCGATCGTGTTGTTTGTATCATTCCAACCAAATCCCGACCTAGACAACATCGTTCTTAGAGAACCATAATGTTTTTTCCACACGTGTATCTTAGAATGGATATGTGGCGATGCTTTAAGGTCGGTACCGGGAAATTTTTGAACCATAAACTGTTCAAGAGTGCCTAAAAAACCGGTTTTAAATCCATTTTCACTCTTCCAACCCCTAGACACAATGTCTTTCAAGCCTAATATTAAAGTTTGTTCCTCAAGGACCGTCCAACTACGCCAATTATTGTTCACACCACCCTTACTTGCAGAACCCTTTTTGAATTGCACATTGTTTTCCATGATCTCTGTATTTGTTGGAAATTTACCAATTTAGTGTATGATAGTATAAAACAAATTAAAAATACGTTAACCAAATAAAGCAAAAACTGAACAAAAAAAAAAAAAAATGAACAACAAGGGCTGGGAAAAAATAGGTTTACAATGTAGTTTACCAACACTCCACATTGTCATTAGATTCGAAAACAATATGTCATTAAAATAAACATATGACTAGGGCAGAAAATTAAAACCAACTACGAAAGCAATAATGTGTCTGAAAAAAAAACAGCCTACAACTCTAATCTAGCGAGATAATAGCCAATGATTGTACATGTTCAACGCTATGGTATCCCGCCAATCAGTCCACTCTTGTGAAGTTTCCACAGTATTAATGTAATCTTCACCACTAACCACACCTGGATTCTTACGGAGAAAGTCATCTAACGTTTCTTCATCAGGGTTGAAGTCATTCGTGGTTCGAATAAAGTTATGAAGGAGACAACAAGCCATTACGATCCTATTTTAAACTTTGATGGGGTAATAAGCAGGACTTCGTAAAATTGCCCACCTTGACTTCAAAAGCCCAAATGCCCTCTCTATTATGTTTCTTGCCTTTGCATGTTTCATGTTAAAAAATTCTCTAAAGTTTTCAGGTGCACTTGGACCTTGACCATATGCATCAAGGTGGTATCTAGCACCTCTCTAAGGTGCTAAGAACCCCTCGCCATTCGTGTAACCGTTATCAACCAAATAGTAGTTACCTGTAATAGTAAAAAAATTCATTGTGGTTTTACGCAACTCATATGGTTTAGAATTTGGAAAGTGTGCAAATTAATAATAACCTTATGTTAACTTGTACACATACATACCAGTGGGGACCCGTAACCCGTTTTCCCTAGTTACCGCGTCCCGAAGTATTCTACTATCTGCAGCCGAACCTTCCCACGTAGTAAGTAAGTAAATAAAGTTCATGTTATTATCACACACGGCTAGGACATTCAATAACACATTGACTTTGTGATTTCTATATCTTGGTTTATCAAGATAAGGAACACGACAATCTATGTACGTCCCATCAAGTGCCCCAAGACAACCCTAACAGTTATAAGAAATGAATTACATCCATTGTTAACAATTTAATCTTTTTAGTTGTAATTTAACTACAATTATGAGGTATGGTAAAGCACATAGGGCTGTTTTACCTGAAAGTATGAAAAACGCTCGTTATCCGAGTTTTCGTCGACGGGTTTTGGTGAAATCAAAAGCATCTCATGTAGTTTTAGCAAGGCCAAAAGGACCCGATTAAAATGGTTGCTAACTGTATAACCTGATCTTTTGAAATGACTACGCACGACAACATTTTTTGTGTGGTGTGCCAAAATCTGAAGAAACATTGCAACTTGCTCGGGGATGCTAACATTTCTATTCGGGTTAAGACCACCAACATTTTCTAAAACGTAACACAAGCGATAAAATTTTTGAATGTTCATTCTCAGATTATAACGACAAGTAACATCATCGAATCCCACAATTGAACGCAAGTAATCAAGTTGCGAAGGGGTTCTGCCTATCAAACTATAAGATCGATTGTTATTTGATTGGGAATCACTCAAACGACGACGGTTATACTGCCTAAACATGCGCATAAACATTAAAAAATATAGCCTCAAATTAAACATTAGCTGATGCAAGACAAGTACAACATCTTCCTCTTGTTTTGACAAATTCATCGTAAGGCGACAAGTCCCTACAATATGCACAAAAAAATCATTCAAAATATTGGTCGGAAAAATGACATCGACAACAGATCTTATACGACATAGTACACAACATTAGGGAAAAATAACCCAAATTCATTCAGGTGTATTTACACATAAATGTTACAAATTTTGCTAAACAAATAATGTAGTTTTAAACTTGTAAGAAATACAAAATACGCACAATAATTAAACAAGAATTGAGTACATACCCGACTGAGTTAATTAATTCGAGAAATCTGGGGTTTTGTAAGCGGGTATTTTTATACCGAATCACCAAATCAGCTTATGCAGAATATCAACAACAACAACCTGAAATTGGTAACCATGTTACACGGATTTATGAAGTAGTGTGACTAATTAAAATAACAGACATGATGAACACGAAAATAAAATATGTAACAAACCGACTTACCGGAGCAAAAAGAACATATGACCTCACTAACACAAACGACTTTCAGTGGCCGGGTAATGGAGCCGATTGCCTAACGAGAGTAAGAGCCTCAGATGATACGCGCATTTTAAAGCTTCAGCTGAAAGTTTTGAAACGGAAACAGTGAAGAAGATGAAGAAATTAGCTTCCTTTGGGGTTAGGGTTTGCTGATGTCGGGAAAAGGGGATTTTTTCACAAGTACATTTGGTTTTTATATGAAAGGAATCAGTATGGCAAGGGCAAAAACGATATTGCACAACCCATTAGATGATGGGATTAATAGATGACAGCCTATCACGCCAATATTGGCGTGCCTGTCAATAATTCATTTGAGTGATAAAAACTGTGGGCCCCCTTATCAATGCCTCACCAAACCACCAAACAAAACATAATACACGAAAGTATTATTCATCCCATCAGGCCTAATATTGCAAACCAAAGAGGCCCCAAACCAAAGAGGCCCCTATTTTTATATATATATATATATATATATATATATATATATATATATATATATATATATATATATATATATATATATATATATATATGGCGAATGGCAAAAAAGCCCATCACATGGGACTTAAATGCATTTTGGTCCACAAAAAAAACAGTCTATCAATTAAACCCACCCCCATGTCTTTAGTCTAAAATACCCTCCATAATATAATTCTTATCAATTCCACCCATTATGCTCTAACTTCCTTAATATTACACATTGACCCCGGATTTAAACAAATATATCACATTAACCCCCCAAAAATTTTTTTTTCAGAAAATAATTTTTTTTCTGAAATATTTTTTTTCCGGCCAGATTCCGGCGTTAACTTTTTTTTTTTTTTTTGAATTTTTTTTTCTTAGAAAAAAAATATTTTAATTAATATTACTGTCTTGGCTACTAAATTACTGTCTCAGACAGTAATATTACTGTTTTGGACAGTAATATTATGAATATTATTTTCCCGAACAGTAATATTATTAATATTATTGTCTAAGACAGTTAAATTACTATTGGAGACAGTAATTTAGCATCCAAGGCAGTAATATTAATTAAAATATTTTTTTTAAAGAAAAAAAAAATCAAGTAACAGTTAAATTACCGTCTCCGACAGTTAAATAACTGCTGGAGACAGTAATTTAGCAACGAATACAATAATATTAATTAAGAATATTTTTTTTAAGAATAAAAAAGTCAATTAACAGTTAAATTACCGTCTCCGACAGTTAAATAACTGCTGGAGACAGTAATTTAGCAAACGAATACAGTAATATTAATTAAAAATATTTTTTTTAAGAATAAAAAAGTCAATTAACAGTTAAATCACTGTCTCCAACAGTTAAATAACTGCTTGAGACAGTAATTTAGCAACGAATACAGTAATATTAATTTAAATATTTTTGAAGAAAAAAAAAAGTCAATTAACAGTTAAATTACTGTCTCCGACAGTTAAATAACTGCCGGAGACAGTAATTTAGCATCCAAGACAGTAATATTAATTAAAAAAAAAATTTAAGAAAAAACAAAATTATATAAAAAGAAAAAAAAAAAAAAAGTCAACGCCGGAAAATACACATTATATAAAATGCACTACTCCGTGAAACACACACTGGAAATTCAGTGTACTTCTTGTGTAAAACACAGACTACATAAAAACCACACACTCAATTACAAAAGAAGTACACTCAACTTCCAGTGTGTGTTTCACGGTGTAGTGCATTTTATGCAATGTGTGTTTTGGTGTAGTGCGTGTTTTTTCTAAGTGTGATTTTTTGGCTTAGTGCGTGGTTTTTTTTAGGGTGTTTATTTTCTATTTTAATTATTGTGTAATTCAGTGTATGTTTTCGATTTAGTGAGTGTTTTATAATTCATTGTGTGTTTTTGGTGTAGAGTGTTTCTTTTCTAAGTGAGTGTTTACGGTGTAGTGCATGTTTTTTTTCAGCGTGTGCTTTTGATGTACTGCGTGATTTTTTTTCCAACGAGTGTTTTCCAGTGTATTTGTTGTGTGTTTTCGATGTAGTGCGTATTTTATTTTTCAATGTGTATTTTTGGTGCAGTTTGTATTTTTTCCAGTGTGTGTTTTTGGTATGGTGCATGTTTTTTTTCAGTATGTGTTTTTGATGTACTGCGTGGATTTTTTTCCGGTATGTGTTTTCCAGTGTAGTTGTTGAGTAATTCAAAGCGATAAAAAACCACACACTACACCAAAAACACGCACTATACCAAAACACACATCGAATAAAATGCACCACACCGTGAAACACACACTGGAAATTCAGTGTACTTCTTGTGTAAAACACATACTACATAAAAAACGCACACTCAATTACACAAGAAGTACACTCAATTTCCATTGTGTGTTTCACGGTGTAGTGCATTTTATTCAATATGTGTTTTGGTGTAGTGCGTGTTTTTTCTAAGTATGAGTTTTTGGTTTAGTGCGTGGTTTTTTTTCGGGTGTTTATTTTCTATTGTAATTATTGTGTAATTCAGTGTATGTTTTCGATGTAGTGCGTGTTTTATTATTCTTGTGTGTTTTTGGTGTAATGTGTTTCTTTTCTAAGTGAGTGTTTACGGTGTAGTGCGTGTTTTTTTTCAGTGTGTGGTTTTTATGTACTGCGTGATTTTTTTCCAGTGAGTGTTTTCCAGTGTATTTGTTTTGTAATTCAATTTGTGTTTTCGATGTAGTGCGTATTCAATATGAGTTTTTGGCTTAGTGCGTGGTTTTTTTTAGGGTGTTTTCCCTTATATCATCCATATGCTCATCTAGCTCTGTCAAAGTGCATGCTGAGGAAACTATTTCCTCTCTGCCCTGGATTGCAGCTGCAACCAGCACTGGTTGTTTCAGGCTTTTTGACATGAGAAGTGGAAAAATTATTTCTTCATGGATGGATATGTGACAAAGGTATAATGAATATTAGGATGCAATTCCTATAAGAAAATACTGATTCACATACAATTTCAAATCCTTAGCTAGCTTTAGCTGCAGATCATCATCTTGTTTCTAGCTCTCTTGAACAAAACATTGCGAATTTGGGATTTGAGAAGGTATTTTATTTTTGTCACACCCGAGTAAGCCATAAGTTACTAGACTAATGCTGATGTATTTCTTTCCTCTGACCAAGTTCAGTTGCAGTTAGTTTATTTTATATTTGAAGTCTTTGCTTAGATCGTGGGGTGGAATGAGAATTTGAGTTAGATATTTAATTTACTAGGTTGTACCTAATCTTATAACATGTAGCTAATGGAATCATGGTTTTGTAAAAACTAATTTGTCTCGAGGATGACATATTTGTGAATGTTCAAAGGAACGGGACAGCCGAACATACAATTTTCAGAGGTTACAGTGATGGAGTTACTGGCTTTTCAGTGTGGGGGCAAAACGTGATCTCTATAAGTAGAAATAAGATTGGCGTTTCTTCTTTACAAGGTTCTACAGATGAAGTACGTACTCAACTTGTCATGTTTTTTTTGTTTCTTGGGCATTTTCCTTCTTCCTCTTCTTCTTTTCTAAGTTGTAGTGTTGTTATGTAATGGCACATGAAGGCAAGCATCGAACAACCCCTCAACATCTATATATGGCAGATGGGGAATCAAAGAACGTGTCGGTGCTATCAGCCATTGGTATCTTGCCCTTTTCCCGCCTTTTCCTTGTTGGAACAGAGGATGGCCATTTGAAAATTTGTTGTTAGTTATACTTATTGTTCCATTTGTTCGTCAATTAAAAGAAATTCTAGTCAAATTGCATGGTCGTTACTTTGTGTATACAGAAGATAAGAAAGGATTATAAGTGAGACGAAAATTCCAATATTTACTTACTGTACAATCACTATGTAACAAGGGATTATTTGCCAAAACTCCCTGGTTACACATGTGCAGTTACAATGAGTCCAAAAAAAAATTTATATTTTAAGATAAATCCAAAATATTTTTAATTAATAAAAATTAATTAAATCTTACCATTATACCCTTATAGTAATATGTGTTTAACCCTAAACTTCTATAGACTTATTATTTATCACGTCACCTCTCTCCAACACCCCTCTTCTCCCCCTCCACCCCACGGTCCCCGCTCCACCCAATCCAACAACCACCCACAAATCCACCCACCACCACCACCGCCACCAATATTTTTGCCGCTCATCCACCGTCCTAACCATCTATGTTTTTGCCTCTTTGCGTCGACCTTATCTCATTTCGGCATATCTAAGACGATGGTGTATGTGATTTTGAAGATTGCAAAGATATGAGCAACGATGTGGGCGAGACTTGATTCAAGATTTAAAGGCAGCGGCGTGAAGC